AATGTGGCTTCGGTAAAAAAACTTGAAGCAAGTTAAGGATGTATGATTCCATGAAGCCATTAAACATAATGTCATTTTCATTTATAAGATTTACTCTCAATGTGTCTGCTGTCCTGATTTCATTCCGCCTTGGAAAATAGTGAAAATCACAATTCCTAAAAATCAGCCATTGCTGTATGCGATAAATAGAATCTTACACTCGTGTTCATGTCAAACTGTCCTACTGAACTAGTTTATAATGGATATTGCTTTGAGAGTTGTAGTTTAAACATGTATTCATCGAGGAAAAATGCCCTTCATAACATTACTTTGGAGCCTGTGATGTGCTGACACCGACTTGTTCAACAAATTTGTAGAAATTGCATGCTGGTGTTGGCACTGTAAAACCATGAACACTTATAAATTGAATAAAGGTTCCACATAATTCATATTTCTTCATAATTATATTGTTGCTTTACCCAAAATGGATTTAAACCTAAAGAGCAAAGATGTTATAACTTCATAAAACGGAGGTTCAAACGATAAACAAATAAAGCAATATGTTGTCGATGCCAAGGGCGTCAATTCTACTTAGTTGTTTTCGATGTACATATTCGCCGTTTTACAGAACGTTTGAAGTAAAAAAGGGTACTTTCTAAATGAACCTCTTTGCTTTAGACTTTTCTACTTCATGGGTTCTATATAGACTCAGCACAGCAAACCATGAATTTTCCCCAAAACTTGCTGCCGAGTTAAATGGCAGTAGAATATGACAACTAAGGCTGCTCTTCGCCACCGCATTATTTGCTCTTTGGATGTATTAGGGAAGCAACCTTTCTAAAACCAAACAAACAAAGGCATCATATTACTGTAAGGATGGTTATTATTTACTATTTAAGAGAATAAAAAAATCGCAAAATATAAGTACATTGAAATGCAAATTGATAAAGAACAGTAAAGTTCGTTTAACCTGCGTGCTATGTTTTGCTTCATGTGAATAGTGGCACGGGCCAGAACACAAGGGCTTGACACACATTCTTAGCTCATGGTCCATCTATATGCATTATAGTGTTCCTCCTGTGATCCACAATTGTCTTTGATATTTCTCTTAGATATTTCAATATCAAGAGTTATGAATTTTAATTAATCATTAAGAACAAATTTTAAAATTTATTGAATTTACTAGAGTTTATTGAATAGTAGGGAATGTGCACCTTCCCAACTAGGTTTTGATATTTATTTCAAATAATTAGAAACGTCAGTCCAAGGTTTAAACATTTAAGGTCCACGACATCAATCAGAAGCTGAAGTAGAATGAAATAGCTGTATGATTCAGTTTACTCCATCATTTGGTTCTACTGCATTTGATTCTGAATTTGTATTGAAAGTAGCTATTTACTTGTGTGTCTTTTTACAATCTTCAACGAAAACTACATCCCTTTTCTTTTCAAACTTTCGGTAAAACCGCGAGAATCTGAACCACTGAAAATAACAATATTTACAGTATATGTAAAGAAAACATAGCAAAAATAATTATATTCCTGCCATTAGATGTATTATTATCGAATATATGTCAAACTAGAATTGCTTACAAATGTCTTATTATCACAAAAAATAAAATAACAAGCAAAGACTATTGATGATAAAATATTTAGTATTGTTTGTAGAAACAATGCCCGTCTAAATACAAGCGAGTAGCTTTTAAATGTTTGTGAAGTTTTCCTACTCCCTGAGGACAATGTCAACAAAATGCTTGTCAGAATCTGAACAGGTCTTGTATGGCAACATATACCGGGTATAGATCTTCCCGTCACACAATCGAGCAACCGTTTATAAACCTGAGAGTGCCCTTATCAACTTTCACTTCGTTCATAATTTATATGCTGTCATCGTCCTTTAAGACACAATACACATATTGTTTTCACAACATTCCTTACTTTTAGCAGGACACACGCCTTCTATTTCTAATTTGTTTGGAATATAAAAAGTATTAAATTTATTCAATAACGAATCGTTTTAATGACATTTTACAATCCGATTATAGATTATCTATCACATGTCATATCCCTGTGAATTATGTTTATGTGAGTAGGTTTTAAAATGCATTGATTGAGCACGTGCAAGGTAAACAACAAAGTCATTGTCGTCGATTTCAATATCAAGATTTGCAGCTAAAGGGAAAAGTAAAATATTACTTAAACGAGGAAAAAACACCCCGAAATACAAAACAAACAAGAGTATCAGTGAAACTGATGAATGCTACCCGAACACGACTTTATTTGATACAAAATTTTAATAAAAGGAAATAATTCTGTAATTAAGGGGTTGCAGGCCCTCAGTTTGGTCTACTGCACATTCTCTTGGTATAATTTAGTTTGAATACACGCAAAGTAATGCTCCACACACAAAATTTGAACAAAGAGCAATAACTCGGTGATTAAGGGGATGAGGGCCTGTATAGTTGTATGGGACACAATCTCTTTGTATGATCACTCTATTTGCCAAGTTTCATTATCTTAGCCTAGATGTAAGCAAAGTTATGCTCTGCACAAAATATTTTTAACAAAGGGCAATGACTCTGTAATTAAATGGTTACAGGCCCTAACATTTGGTACACTACACATCTTCTCAATATCATCAATGTAAACACCAAGTTTGAAGATCCTTGCTCAACAGTGGGCAAAGTTATGACCTGGACAAGAAAGACGGACTGACGGACGGACGAGGCTGCGCCTATATGATCCCCTTAAGATTTTCGGAAAGCTTAAAAAAATTCAAATTATTTTGTTTATTACAACAGATACCATCTTTCATCAAGTTCAATTCACGAGGATGATTGGTCAGTATTTACGTCAATGGATTCATTGACAAAACTGGCTGTCAAGCAATAATATCAACATAGAAACACTATGAACACCACAAAGTCTTACCTTTTGGTTAAAACATGAAATTAGATTGTATCATACAAATATTTCCTCCTTCTAAGATTGATATAATAAAATATTAAAAGAAGAAAAATCAATGTTGGCCATTGATTAATATCAAAGTGTATATGTAGAGGCACACTAACCCAATAATTCTATTAATTTCATAATCTACAGGAAGATTTTTAAAAAGTCAAGTACATGTGTATTTCACGAATCCTATTTCTTTTCTCAGACGTTGTAACATGTACTAATGTGAGGAAAACAAACTACTTTCAAAGTTATCATTTAGCCTAAAAGCTTGTCATTTTTGATAAAATTCAGCGGGAAATACGATCGTATCAGCGGCACTATGTAGAAACCCTTGTCAAAATGTATAAATTCTACCCACCTCATAAGGGTTGATAAAGATTTCTGCAGTTGGCAATATATCGCAAGTGATTGCAGCACATATGCATCGCATATACATTACACGTGATCATGGAATGTTGACGTAGTATATTTGAGGTCTTCAACATAAACTCGAATGACAGTCAGGTACACATTATAAATGATAGACATTGTCCAAAATGTTTCTGTTACGGAAAATCCTTTTGATACCCAAACCCTAAGGAGGTTTTATCTCTTTCCAAGTAGACACCATACTGTTTTGTTTGAAGCCCTATTGACATTTGTTGAAACCACGTGGACAAGCGACAGGAAACCGATAAGGACATTGTAATACCTGGGATACAAAACCTCTCAGCTACCACGCTAGATTAAAGTTTCTTTATGTCCTAGACTGAATTAATTATAGTGTTTCTTTAGAACATTCAAATTCGCATAGATACGTAGCAAAAAGTAAACTTTCATTATAATTCTTAAGATTATACAGATGTTTTTCTTTTTTTCTTTCCCACACGTATCGCGATAATTCATGGCATTAAGTACATATATTAGTTGACAGAAGAGAGGGTTGTTTAAGCCGGGATGTCCTTGATCGGGGCATGCAACTCTCTATAGGAGTCATAATCACATTCAAAAGAAATAAATAATCAGGTTTCGTTATTTATTTTGTCACATGTTGGGATGCTTAACATACGCACATCTCCATGAACGCAGAATTGAAATCACGTTTAATTGGAATACAGACAAGTCACATACATATGTATTCACAAAGGTATAGCTTATTTAGATTTAAGTTACGAGACACGTGATTTTTTTTGTGTTAACATTTACTTGTGTGATTAATATCAATTTATTACAAATGTCATTATTTTTCAAAAAATACGACAGAGACAAAAAAAAAAAAAACCTCCCAAGAAAAAAAAAGTCATGTCCAAACGTTTGCTTTTCTGTAACAAACTCCGGTATCACTGCAAAGGTTTTGTTCAACAAGGAGTTCGCTTTATTGTTACGTTTATAGTCTATTGGTAATTTGTATTCTGGGAGAGATTTAATCCTAATGGGAACAATTATTTAAATATTTGTTGTCTAATACTAGGATTTGTTTCTGTTTATTGTCACTATCATCATTGCTTTGACATTTAATTGAGCAAAAACTGATTAAAATGTTAACAGAATTAGACAAGTTGTAGATTTGGTTTCACGTTCTGAAATGATGCTGGCGCCATGGTGTGATGTAGAATTCTTTATAAAGATACATTTGTCACTTTTTATTACAAGGTACGTTATTTATGTAACACTGAAGCTGTAATTTATTTTTCTCAGAAAATCAATTAAATAAGGAAAGAATATAATTAAAGGTAGGATCTACATGCGGAACATTGAAAATGTACAAAGAAATAAAACCTGGAGTACCTGAAAGGTATTTCTAACATTAAACAATCTGTGATACATATAGATAGATATATGACACTGGTACATGGTGACAGATGTGCGATACATTTCAACATTTATATAAGGCTTTTCCTTTGCTTGATTTTAACTTCGAACTGCGGGTTTTGCCTTGATCCTTTTTTGTTATAAACGAAAGATAATAATTAAATAATTTAAAAAAAATGTATCACCGTTAATTGTTGCTTTACGTCCTATTAACAACCTGGGTCATCACCGTCAATTGTGATACTGACCAATGTATAACTGACGCACATAAGAAAGCTTTCAATACAAATTTATTGAATTAAAGACAATGAGTAATGGTCAAGTGGAAGAGTACAACTATCAAAGAATATTTACAGATTAGGTTAATTAATCAAAATGAAATCCTTTGTTGAGAGTCATACAAATATCAAACTACCAAACAATATCTCCATGATAAGTTGCCGGAATTCCTCTAGATGTTTGTAGTAAAATGATTGATTGAAATGTGAACGAGGCTAAATGTTAATGGTACGGTAAGATGGACACGAGAATATTTCGATGTAAAAGGGTTGGATAGTTTTATCAAGACATTCTTATGTTTTCATATTGACATTATTTTTGCAAATTATTTGTTCATAGACATAATCATGCATTGAATAAGGTCACTTGATAATCACCCATCTGTACAGTACGAGTTATTTCAGAATCATTATCATAGCATACCATTGTTGTCATACATAAATCTATCGAGGAGGTATTGTCGTTATAGGAAGTTAATGGATTGTAGAATGGTCAATGAGATGAATAGAATTACAAAGACGTTTAATGTATTTAATGTATTATCAAACTACTACAAGTAATAAATAACTTTTAACGATATAAGAATGCATATATACATACACTGTATGTATGTGAAAGACTGGCAAAACCTTTGAACCTGGTAATATATGGTAAATATGTGTAAAATGCCAATATCGCAAGGTTTCTAGTGTATAACACCTATAGCGTAAGGTTTTCAGTGTACAATGTATTTACGAATTGTTTTCTTTTTTCAAACACAACATAGGTATCTTATATTCATGGTTTATCAAATACTTTGGAATTGTTAATTTTCGGCGGGATTTTATTTTTACCGATTATTTTCAAAATCGATAAACGTAACGACGTCATATTACTTATGTATAGTAACGACGTCATATTACTTATGTACATAAATGACGTCATTTTACTTGTGTATAGTAATGGCGTCATATTACTTATGTATAGTTGTATAGTTTCGACGTCATATTACTTATGTACACGAATGACGTCATTTTACTTATGTATAGTAATGACGTCATATTATTGATGTATAGTAACGACATCACATGACTAATGTATAGTAACGACGTCACATGACTTATGTATAGTAACGACGTCATATTATTTATGTACAGTAACGACGTCATATTACTTATGTATAGTAACGACGTCATGTCACTTACTTACATCATAGTTATGCATTTGTATAGTAACGCCACTTTAAAGTTTATTTTCTTTTCTATTTGATTCCAAAAAGAGACAGAGCCATATGTATATAGGAACTTGTTCTGTTCTTTTGAACAAGAAGGACGAATAATCTATTTTCTCCGATGTCAAGTGACGTAATTACTAAAAGGATTGAGAATGTTTACCTTGTGTCACCTCACAAAACACGCATTCCACTGATGTGAGTTGGTGAGTGAACATGTAGTACAACGTTATACATTACCGTATTCCAACGTATCGTACAACATCAGTCAGTGAAATGCTCAGATTTTTATACATTGTCTACATCGATGACTTTAGCTTGAGTAAGAACAAAAATATCCTTTCCTTAAGTTCGGGAACGGTTGAACACTGGCTCAGTTATCTCGGAAACTGGCTGTTCTTTGTTTAAGTTCCATTAAAAAGTCTTCAGTAGATACAGTATGAACAATCGGTTCCTTTCGTCTAGGGGTTGTTCGTATTGGATCAGGTTGGAAAACCTCGTCTACATCTTTAATTTCCTTCCCTTGAAATGTCACATGATTGTCATGAGACTTGCCTTCAGTGATAGACGAGTGTTTGCGTTCTCCTCTTTTTACCGGTTTGCTATACAATTCGTCGATGGTGGAAGATGTAGCATCAGTAAGCTCTCTACCCACCGGTGTTTGAACTTCAGCATCCCGATATCTGACAGAATAACGCTTCGGTGGTGTTTTAAGGGAATAATGTCCACGGTAAAAGCGCAAGCCAGTTTGATCGTCGAAACTTGTACTTTCCTGCTGGGGTCTTAATATAGTCGCCTTTGCTGTATCGTCGCTCTTTGACCGGTACAGTTGGTCATGGTATAGAATATTAGAGGACAACCGGTGACTATCAATTTGCCTTGGATCTCTATAGATCCTGTCGACTCCATTTGCCAACGGTTTTGTCCTTCTGTCCAAAGACGAAGCGTCTGTGACCAGAGTATTGACCTAAGGAACCATAATCACGACAAGGTGACAAATTATACCGGTAATAGTAATATTTGCATCTTCTATATATTTACGTATATCATCTTCACATTTATAGAAAGAACATCACAAACACTTTGTGGGAGGTGCAACTTCATTAACCTTAATTTTCTTTCCTCTTGCCTTTTTGATGCAATGTTAAAGTAACTCGCAAACATGATGAATTTCAATAATTTATCAGAATGAGAATAGATCTAGGTTCTCTGAAAAATATGCACTCAGAGGTTCTCTAAACGCTTTGTGGTTGACGTGTCTTGGCCGCATCCAAGTTATTCTAAGTGTAGAATTTTCTCATGGTAGCAAAGTTAAATTTCTGGAGAACAGTTAAGCTGATAATGGTTGTAATTTAACATCGATCCATTTTTGCATTTATACGCACCGATTCTTTACTATTGGTGTAGAATGTGTCTTGGTCGGAGCTCTTCCGAGATTTTCCGGTGAAATTTGTCCAGCTTATAGAATTTTTCTTTCTGCTCTCTCTTTTATATGCCTTCTGAACCTATAAAATATGAAGAAGAATATAGCTTTATGAGAAATGCAATACGTTTATTGCAGAGGATGTGCAAGCAGCAAACCTGTATTAAGCGGTCAGTCAAAGAAAAATGGTTACTTATGACAAGAAACTTCTGCATTTATTATGAACCAACTCATAGAGAAGCAATAACTTATACAAACGTTGATCAATTTCTAATCTTCATCCATTCAAATGATAATATTCCCCTACACACGCATTAAGCGTTCAGCAGATGTACAGTTATTGTCTCTAAAATCTCATTTCTTGAAATACGCGATAAAGCGAAAAAGCAATTTTGTCTTTACGTTTAGGAAATAATTTCGCACGTATGTAGTGTTATGTAATCATAACATGTAAAAATATTTATCTACATGGTTACCTATATCATAGAAAGAGTGCAATAACCTGTTGCACACTTTTCGGTTTAGTCCTTCAATATAGTTGATGTGAGCACAGAGTTAATGATAAAGTATAAAACATTATATTTAGTAGAGAATACTTGAATACTTACGTCAACGCTCATCAGACAATGAAGAACGAAGAAAAACACACCCTAGGAAGAATACAATCATAGTTTTAGATAGAGAATGTGAAAATCGAACATGCTTTTTCAAATAACAATTTAAATGACAATTAATCCTACCCCAAGATATTTATTTTGTTTACTTCGCTCGGAACAACAAACAATTATCTCAGTAGCATTCAATCACATTTAAGTATGAAATTATTGTTTATGCATTGTAAACTTTGTATGGTAAGATATATGAAGATCTAACACTGAGTATTTTGCGATTCTTACCTGAAGAGAATTGAAGAAAGTGAAAAGGTATGTAAAAACTAAAGCTTCTGTGTTTTCCACAGACAGGAACCCAATTGTCCATGTCAGTCCCAACAATGGTAAAAGGACAACAGCTGCCTTTAAACCCGCCCTAAGACAACAGCAGACAAATATGGTACACTGCTCTCAAAACATATAGTGATCTTCTAACTGTTAATTCAATGGAGTGAAATATCTTTCATTGTTATATGTTAATGATACATTATGACTTTCGCAGAAATGTTTTTATATGATATCTTAAACTAATTAGAAGATTAACAATTAAGACAAGGAGTAAACTCGGAGAAGACGGCGACCAAATAAAAAGTCTATTGATGAGGATACAGATAATTGGCATTCTATGACGTCATAAGACAATGGGCCTTGCAGCAATCTCTCTGGACAGGACAAGCTTATATTCATTTAAGTATTTGTTGACAAGAAGTTAAACGCGATGCCACTCTTGCACATTCTAAAGAGGCGAACAATTACATTGAGTGTATTCAACAATTTACATATCACCTGATTGCAGAGCGATCCTCAGAGTTGGCCCTTGTCGGCATCGATTTCATCATTATTCTCAAAACCATTAGTAACACTACCGTGTTTATCTACAAAAGACGTATTGGTATATATATGTAATATATAGCAAACCTTCAATAAATATATAAACGAGACGATCTTTAACGATATGGTACTTTTTGGTCTTTGATAGTCTATTCTTGAAAACACAGGTGTAGTTCTCTTTATCTCCATGTAAAAAAGTACATCTTCAAAGACGGTAAATCACTCATCAATCCATCAAACAATCATACCATAAGACATCGTCTGGTTTAGTTATACATTAGATAATATGTTAATATACATCAGTCGGTGCTCAGAAGGTATTCTTTAAATCGACTGATAATTCAAAATATACTTTTCACATTAACTGTCTAACTTACTTTGTATATCTAAATTATTACAGACTAATTTGGAAATCTTTAAATGTTAAATTTAAATACCAAACTATGATTATACCTAAATATAGTATCTCATACTCAGCCCGATGGTTATATATTCAAACAGAAAAGAAAAAAAATCTATGGAGACCGGCCATTAAAAAGCATTCTCGAAAAGTAACATTTCAATTTAGGTAAATACAAATATGTAAAGGTTTTGAAATAACAAAGTCATCGCAAATACCATCAAACCCATCAAACTGCATACCACACACGGAAATATAACATTTTAATACAAGATCATAACATAGACCATTTAACTGTTCATTGGTGGTCCGGTGGCGCAGTGTTAACGCACTCGCCTTTCACCAAGCCGACCGGGGTTCGATTCCCGGAACGGACGTGAAAAGGTAAGGGATCACCTGCCCGACCACGTGGGTTTTCCCCGGGTACTCCGTTTCCTCCCACAATAAGACCCCTCGCGCGCTTACATCCGGGCCAACAAGAATTATTAGTATAAGTTGACATAACTTGTTTCGCAATTGTTGTAAAATAAATAAAGTTTATATTTTATATAACTGTTCATTGCTCGTCATTTACACGCGTCTCCCTTAACCGTGTGTAGCGGGTGATATTCCGTCAGCAGTCGACATCGATCACGATAAGTGGGATTTCATAAACAGACTTGAGGATATCAAATCAACTGTAACACGTAAACGCATGTATGCAAGTTTCTAAATTTACATATAGCTTAAATCCCTCCCCAAATGAAAAAAATATTAGCGTTTCCAAGTCATTAGCGTACTTCTTAAATTACATCCGATGTATTTTATGACAATTAATGCGTAAATTGTGTCATGTTCCTGCAGATGTAGGCTGGTATTAGCATCTGATACATGCCTGGACGATGTTTAAGAAGGTAAGCCCTTACCACAATGACGAGGCCAACGGCTGGTAGGAAAACCACGAGGAGCATATCATGTGACAGCCAACATCTGTAACACGTCAATTCGATGGTCAGGTCAATGCAATATTAATGTTACTTTTATGGTTTTCACGAGAAATAATTTCATTTAACAATTCGTGATTAAAACTGAAATTTGAATTTGAAATATAATTCTCGCTTAGTGCCGGTGCTTTGTTTCACCAACTGTAGAAAAGGTGAAGGTAAGAAATCTAAATCTTATTGATGAACTTCTGCTAACTACCAACATATGGAAGTATTCAAATGGGAACATATTTGAGCATGTATGTAAGGTCAATAATTTTTGCATTTTAACGAATTTCATGAATTTACAATTTCTGTGAACCGTACCAGTTGTACAGTACCATAGTATATTATAATGTACAAGATACTATCATACTTTTTCTCGATAAGGAAATCAGACATGTTATTAAATGATATTTATAATTGCGAGTTCAAGAAAATAATGTTTCAGATCCGAGCAAATTTGTTTGAAACTTGGAATTTTTTATCTCTATAAAAACCGAAATTTATTTATTTTGTCAAATAGACATATAGAGGATACAAGTATTATTTCACATATGTATGTTTTATGAATCACGGCCAACAAACTAACAAATGGAGCAAGACACTATAATCACTTGCATAAGATTAACAAAAACGTCGTGACCAAATCAGATCGAGTTTCTAAAATAAACACAATTTGCATTTATAAAAAAGATACAAACGGACCCAATTTAGTTGTAAAATCTTTTATTTACGTATTCAAATAAATAACGAAACATAAATCTTCTGCGAACATCATTTTAACCTACGAACAAATTATCAAAGAACGGGTTTCAATTTCGACATACCACACGCTGATTGTGCTCGGCTTTCAAGGCACTGTATGCCACGGCGCAACGCTTATTGTCAATTTGACACACAGCAGGGATAATATTACCTTTGTACTCCACAAATAGATACATTTTAAGTGTTACGTGATATTAGTTTCATACGTTTCAAGTGTTTTTAAACTACTCGTTGCTTGTAGTTACATGAATAGTGCTTAGGTGTTTCAGTAACAATAGATACTTATAATGAATTTTTATGTATAACGCATACCGTGCTAGAAAAAAAAATCCAAAATTTAAAGTGAGATGTATCTGTACTTACACTTTGTCATTTCCATATTTATCGTGAAATATTCCCGCAGAGATACCAACAACTATAACTGGGATTCCTAAGAATAAAAAACGTCAGCTTTGAATAAATATAAAAATAACCCTAAACTTATAAATCTACTAATGATGTGCTAATTACAAATATAAGGTCACAGTTCATATACAGTGGACGGTACGATACATGTTTTATTTATTTAAAATGTATTTGTACTTAAGCATAGCTTGGTTACGGCAGCTTTCAAATTAATCTTAGCATGTGACGACGTAGCTTGTAAACTAGTAGGTAATTCCAAATTAAATTGTTCAAATAAATATCGACTTGTTTTTGGTTTCATTGAAGTTTAGAGTTAACATGTTTTGACCTTTTTATATGCATTGATACATGTTTTGATACCATGTAAAACAAATATCTTTAATTATAACTTCAAAATGTGGAACTATGATGAATGAAAAAAATATAATAATTATGCGTTCTGAAATCTTCATTCCACAAGAAATGTGATGAATTTCATTTTGAAGAAAAATATAATCAGCAGAGATAATAAAAAAAATAAAACTATTGACAGCCTGCCAAGGCAATTTCATAACGAATCTCTTCGAAAGGATTCACGAAACAGTTCGTAACACTTATCCAAACCTACCCCAGCCAACCAAGAGGTATTTGCTGAAGTTGCGTCCTCTCTTGAAAACCTTAACCAGAAGAACATACAAATGGAATCCTTCCAGCAACATCCAGCAAAACATAGCGGTGAGAAAGTAATGTAGAGCAATGGCGATGGACATACACACGTACTGAAACAAAACAAGCCTATTTAAGTACTTTTCAAATAAATGTTTTGACTAACTCGTTATTTTGCAAATGTAGAAAAGAAATTGGAAGTCGACGTCGTTCGACATCATTTCTCCATGTCATGTAGATTATATTCAATTAAGATTTGATAACCAACGCGGTATCAATACAGAACCGTGCGCAATCCTTTTAGATATTCATGAAGATGTCGGTTCTCTAGATTTTACATTTTAACCCAAGTATAGGAAAAAAGAAAACACAATGGTATGACAATAACCTTCAACAATAAATAAAGGTGTTTATCATGGTTATTTGACGTGTCCGGGAGGTAAAAACAAGCATGAAGCTTATACAATACAATTTGAAATCTCGTATATATGAAATCGTTTTCAAAGATAAGTGTTATCAACTTAGTTGATATATAACATTTCTATCCGAAAACAATTGAAATGACAACAATTGTCATATTATTATTTGTATTGACAGAAAACTGCTGCCATTGAAGTGCTCTGCAAGGTACTTTTGAAAAACATTTAAATTTCTTTATGATATAAAATGAAATCTTACTCGATTTTCCGTTCGATCAATACCAGCAATAAACAGAACTTGGACAAATATAATTGTGATGGCCAATTGTTCATGGGTTCTTATTCTATCATTCCGTATTCTGAAAAGACAAGAAATTGTGATGATATTGGAAATGGATTTTCTTTTGTTTTCATTCACAAAAGTGATAAATTATCTTTTCGCTTTTTGAACATTCCATTCATTTGTCGTACAGAAAGAGAAAAGAATCGCCTTGATAGTTAGCAAAACTGAAGAACATTTTGTATTTACTCACCTGTAATATTCGAATACAACAACTGAAATTATACAGCACAGAACAGATAGACCTCCTCCTGCGTAAGATATGTAGGTGAGAACGGCATTGTTTTCATCATCTATTTCCTCCTAAAGTATAAGATTTATAACAGATGAGCCACTAAACGAGTAAACTCAATAGAAGGCCAACCCTTGCATGATAGATTTTAAAAGTTGATACAAAACAATTACACACAAAAATACAATGATATCAAGGAAACCTGGAAAATAATGAATAACTATGACTGCTGAGTAATGGCCATTTCTCATGAAGTTTCAATGGAATTGGTTTATCGATTTGGGAGGGGTTTTCCAGACAATATTTGCGAACGACAGCGGAAGTTGACATTTGACGCAATATTTTCTTACGACAATAGCATTCGAACGCAATATGTGAATGATAAAAACCACCTTGTACACCTAATTACCGAAAAGAAGCGATCTAAAGATTTTAACAAAATTGACCAATGTGTCCTTGAAAGTGTGTCCAAGATCATTCACATCTTCAAAGCAAATAAGTAATGACAAGGATATATCTTACATGAGAAGAAGGTTGTTTATTGCACAAAATAGCAATTTCAAACTTTGACCTCTACTGAGAAGCGGAAGTTCAATTTTCTGACAAAGTTTCAGCCAAATGGCACTCTTAGTTAATGGGAAAATATCACTTAAAATTTTTACATAACTTAATCCTGTGTCATTAAAAATGGGTCAAGATCATTCATTTAATCTAACGTGATAGCCAATTACCAGAGCTTCCTAAATACGCATATCAAGACTCTAGACTTCTTTGAAGTAGACAAGTTTGTAAAAGTTTGTTACCCTAAATTTTAAGCAATGTAAAATTTTGTTCAAATATCAAGAAAATGAATATTCATACGAGGTTTTAGTAATACATTCAATTGCAATTGATAGCCAATGACAAGAACTTCTTAAATGTTAAATATCAAGGCTCTAGACCTTGTGAAACGAGAAGATTGTCAATGTTAGTGACCCAAAATAGCCATTTTAAAATTTGACCCCAACCAAGAACCGGAAGTTAAAATTTAAGGCAAGCATTTAATAATACATTTTCTATCAATCGATCTCAGTGTCCTACTGACAAAGTTTTCATCTCCGTGTGCCTCTTGGTTATTTAGAAATTGTTATGTAACATTTTTGGAATAATCGACACATGTGACTTTGAAATTGGGTAAATGTCATTTATATTATCAAACTTGACAGCCAATGACCAGAGCTTACTAAAATCAAATATCAAGAATCTTGACCTATTGGAAGAATTTTTGTCAAATTTTGTTACCCGAAATGGCAATTTCCAACTTTGACCCTTTCCAAGAAATGGAAGTTGACCTTTTACAAAAAGAAAAAAAAATTCCCCGTGATAATTTTTATGTATTTGTTATTTACATAACATATTCAAAGACGCATTTAATACACTCAGCCGTTAATTAGATATTGCAATTTCACTTCAATTCGGATATGACGTCATGGTGGCCATTTTGTATTTCTGATGGGGTTCGAAATAGAAGAAACTGAAAAGCAGATTTTACCAAATTGTCGGCATTTTAAAAAGATCAACAAAAGAACTGTAAATGCTTAAGAAACACTAAAGACACCAACTTCATCGGAATTTTGCATCGATCTGTAACAGAAATGTTCCATCAAATTAATGATAATAATAGAAAGTACAAATTTGTGACCTTTGACTTAACAGAGAACTTTTTTATCAGACATATTTTGTATCAACATGTAATAAGAAAAGTTAGCCACGCAGGTACCCTACAAATAATATAATTACAAGAGTGCTGATAAATAAATCGTTTTCGAGTTTTAAAATCTAAAACATTTGACTTATGACGGCGGTCTAAAATAATGTCTCTCTCTAACAAAGTTAACAGAAAGCTGTTTATACCGGTGTAAATATCTTAATTTAAACATACATTCAGAGCTCGACTTCGCGATTTGCAGGGAAAAGCAATATATGTTAGAGAAAACAAAATATAAATGACCATGTAATATGTATTTTTGATATCTCTCATTACATGGGGTCGCCTCTGTGACATGTTCGTTTCAAGCATGTTGTTATACTAGATGAGCAATTGAAAGAGCAGGTTTTCCGTTCCGACTAATTAGAAAGCTGTTATCATATTTTTTGAGTGTTACATAGTAAGAGTGATCTATAGACGATATAATAATGTCACTTACCTCTTTTCTGAGAAAAAAGTTGTTAACAAATACAGAGGTAATGATTGGCGCGTTAGCTCTATTCGTTGGTGTAATAGCGTTTTTAATGAAACACCAACGCACAAAAGAGTAAATACAAATAGATGATGAACTTACAGAAACCTTGAAGACGTCCATCAGCACTGCGAAATTAGTGAGATGGTTACATAAACAAACTATGTGAGTGTTATTGGAATTTGACTTGTCCTCTCTGCATCCTTCTGAAGACCATCGCATATCATGATTGCTACGAATTTTAAAAAATAATGTGTCACAGTATTGAAAACGACGCACAACTCATGTAGTGAAAAGGTAGATTAAACATGAAGACACAGTTTTTAACCCGACGAATCACGCAAATAATTACATTTTTGTTAAAAAATCAATATAACCCCGTCATTTAACATATTATTATTTGAGTTTCTTATTAAGAACCAATCGTTTCATCGTTGCACAGTAATTATTTATTTACCTTTTCGTCAGGTTCATGAATACGCATTTTTCTTTGTAGGCGGCAATCAATGAAATGTTCTGGAATTATAATGTTGCCATGTGTAACAGTTTAAATGTAAACACTTCGATGCTTGATAAATGGAAAGCTGGTTAAAAATTCGACAATGTGCGACTCTTCAACATGTTTTCCGTTATTGTTTTCTAGTAAAAAAGATGCCTGTGATGCCTATTACAGGAGGCGAATATAGCTGAAGTTACGCAAAATTGAATGTATTATAAAATCGTAGTTTATCATTACAAATCAAATTTATGATAAGATAAATCAACGATTTGATGAATATTTCTGATAAATGGATGCGATAAGCTTTTAATTTGATATAGCTGTCAAATATTGTATCAGTATTATAATATGTAAGGTCTAATTGATATTCAGATGTCATACCTTTATTTCAATAACAAGCTTGATGGGTTCGTCCAAATTATCAAAAGCCTCCTGGGGAATGTTAAGGACACTTCCAGACACGATATCTGAATTGACAAACTTTCCAGGAATATTTTCATTTTCTTTATGAGTGCTAAAACAAAAAATATGTAATACAGTAAAATTTAGAAGTAATAAAATCTTAAACATGGAAAGTGTCTTACTTAGGAACACTTCGAATGATTTTAAAACAAAAACAAAGAAAATAATTTTAAAAAAGCATCTGTCAGAACTCTGAGTTATGAGTCTATCTGTCAGTTGTCGATATCTTGCACTAAAATCATGATATTTGGCAGAATCCTTATAGTTTCTAATCGATTGCGAAATGTGTATGCTATTGGCTGATGCTGCATGATTGTTGCTATCAAGAATGGATAATTCACATTAAGTAAACATCACGCCTGAAAGTCAGTTAAGTGGAAAACCGTCACTGTTGGTTGTCTTGTAGGAAACGATCAAGGTAAGCGACTGCTATAGAAGAGTCTGTGGTGTCTTGGATTTTCAATTCATGTAATTATTGGCGATAAAGCTGAAGTATAAATCGATGTATCTTCAATAAATTCTGTCTCGTATAGAAACAAAATCAAGTCAGCCACGAAAAAGTACAGTTTGTTCCATATGTATGCCAATAGTGTGTTGCTAGATCTCTCCACCAATCTCGGGGAACATGTTTTCAACTAGAAGTGGATCAATTTCATGATATCGTCCTCCTTATATTTTCCCTTTGTTTTGGACATTTTCATCACAAAAACAAATTAGAATAGTTCACAAGGATATTTCTATACAGCGTCTCTCATAACAGTGGAACAAAGGCATTTACAATGAGGTATGATGGTGCACAAAGTAAATGCTCAAATTCTATTACATCTAAAATTTTGAAATGAATGCAGGTCTAAAGGTCCTTGGCGTTGTTTAGAATCAATATACCATTTAATTACACTTCTTGATTAAAAAGTATCACATTAAGATTGCAACCAACAATTTTATAGTACTACAATTTTTAGTAAGAAGCATTGACAAATGTTGGATTCATGTGAAATGTAGGAATCCAATATTAACGTGGGGGGTTCATACCATTATCATAAGTTCCTGTCATCACAGTAAAATAGATATGGGAACGTTCAATGAAAAGGGTTATCAACATTATGTTTCTTACCTTTGTTTCTCTTGCTCTTGTTGTGAAGACGTCAAGATGTCTGTGATTGACAAAAATCGTGCAGTATAAAGCTGTATGTACCTGTCTGTGAATAATCAAAACAAGAATTTCATAAAAAAAAAAAAAAAAAAAAAATGAGTATCAATATGTTCTTAAACACCTGGAAATGTGCTTATACTACATATGTATATCATTAATACATCGAATATGAAAATTTCCTGAGAGCACATTATGAAATTATAATGATTTTTTAAAATTTTAGACAGTCCTTTGGCTATGAGTATCATCAATTATATATCAAATTGAAACGATTTTGAAATCCAATCGCACGATCGATTTTTGAGGCAAATGGTCATTAAATAAAGGACATTTTTTCTCTTTATCTATAGCATCCATTATTAGGTCACAATGCAACTTGTGAGCAGGTGACGTCATTTCAATATTTAAACCTGACGTCATAATGCGTTTTATTATCTATGTCTAGTACGATAAAGTAGTAGAACATGAATATTCACAGAATAACATGATAATCATGAAACAATTTATATTTTATATATCATCTTAAATGGCAACGTAGAGAACTATTTCAATAATGGGCACGTTCAAGTAAAACAGGAATCCAACGTCGTTGCAGAGAGAAAGAAAATACACTTGAATTTGAATCTAGCAGATAAACTATACATCATTTCATTCATCTCTGTTTTGTTATGTCAATGGCCAGACTACAAATAGAATAAATGCACTCCAGAGCTGTAACCGAATAAAATTAAGTAATTGATGAACAATCCCATTTTCATTACTTGTACCAATTTTCATGACTTTTAAATACAGGTTTAATGCATTTCAAAGCAATGTGGCTATTTTGAAACAGTGCTACCATGGTAGGTTTAGTTTGCTTAACTTGCTTAACAATAAACCACCAGAACACAACATCCAGGTAGGTTAAAAATTGAATTGGATAAAGTGTAGACAATGTGCAAGATTAAGAAAATGAATGCGAAGATGTAGGGTTTAACCTCAGTTTGGGTCACTGAACAACATGTTTGGTACCTTGTGATGCTTTAACGGCGTTTCTGAAGACAGTAGACGGGAACGTTATAGAACTGGAAGAGTTATCTCCCATCGTAAAGGAAGACTCACTGTCACACATAGCGATCTTCTCATGGAATGTTATACTGAATTCTAAAATTAAAACAATCACTACTACTTTACTACCACCATCATGAAGTTAAACATTGATAAATACACCACTATGAACACAAAATTATACAAATCATTATAAGGACACCGCACATGTATATGTGTAGCATACGTACGTTCTTACACAATAAAGCTGGTCTTCTACAAAATTGAATTATTATTAAACCATCGAACTGTTTTTTTTTTAAAGTCATTAACCGTTTTTGTGCAATAACACCATTAAAAAAAATCGATTAAGCATGTAATATTGTTTGTGTATTCTGTACTTTCCGAAAGGAAATAAACAATTTTCAAATAAAAAAATCAATAACCCATATAAGCCCATCAATTTAAACTTAAAACAGCAGTTACGTACAATGTATATACCTACCAATATTATCAGTAGATGAATTGATTGATAGACTCCGACTCTGATTTGACATCTCACGTTTGGCTCTTTTGTGTTCCGAAGATGTTCTGACGTTTGCAATGTTTCCGGCAAGGGTTGCCACTGACTTTAATATAGACGCCATCCGATCCTCTACAAATTCCTTACAATAACAATGTAATACTGTTCTGTTAATGCAATAGCAAGTCGAATTGAAAGTTGATAAAGCGAGGGAAATAAAAGAAAACGAGCGACTTGTATTCATGTCACAAACAGAACTTTAAACTCGTTTTAGTATCTATGGGATTCATGAGAATTTTCTTTTTATCTATCCCGTCCAAGCCTCGATAACATTAGTGTTAGCAACTTTGTGAATCTCGTATGGTGTTATTGAGACTCCTGTAGGTATATAATTGAATGCATTGTTAAAAGTAATTGGTAGCATGCTAGAAAATTTGGCGTCTGACAAAGTTAATTGTAAGGCTTCTTTGGATGTGCTGTTGAACTTACTAAATAAAGGGTGACATACTGTTTGGTTCCATGCAGTGTTGGTCAATTATTTTTTTTTTATTGTTTTCCGATCTTGTTCTTTTACATTTTCACAGCTTATATAATTACACTGGATTTATGTTATCAGCAACACATTTTAATGATACATTTGATTGTTAGGGTGTTAAATTGATCAGGACATCTTTACAACATTGTGCACGTCACAGTCTGAAACATATTAATCTATACAAATGAAAGCTGTTGAGTTTGATAATTCCAGATTTAACATGTTATTACATAGAGGCATAGAGGGCCAGTAGATATTAATTTCATTTCATGAAAAAGGTACATAAACATACACAAAATCTGAGTACTGCAAATGATTCAGTCATTGTAAAATCTATAATACCATATTGCAAAATGTATATTGGTGTTGGCGACGAACAACAGTTAAGCTCTCACCAAATCAATTAGTTTCCAGATATGGGCAATTCTATTGTCTATCAGTCCACTAACAGCTTCACCATAGCCCTGAAATATAACGGTAAGGATGAAGTCAAATAATATCGAATAACTGGAAAACTGAACATCATATGCAAAACCATTTAGGTAAGTAAGGCCTCTCAATATAAGCAAATGAAAGCCAGATTAGATGGACAGTCATCAAGACCGACATTTTCAGTACGAATACGAAAGGTTTGATTAACACTATAATTTTAATACAAAATAAAATATTTTCTGAAGTTTTGAATTTTTATTGATTTTGAAATTAAAGAGTCACCTGTGCAATTTCATCTAGGTCATCATGATCATCCCTTGATTGTTTGGAGACATCCGCGATTGTTTGGAAGACGTCAGTGGAAACGACTAGATCCCCTGGATAAAGAGCAGTTGCCGAATCTCCACCTTGGATGGCAGCAGCATGGACGATTTTTGAAGTGATGTCAGTTATCTCACTTTTGTTGACCACTGTGTTATTTTTCAGTTGATTTGCCTTTAAATATGCAATATGGTTGAAATGATGCAAGAAAAATCAAATGTTTCATTACATCGTTGGAATAATGTGTCACTACCTCCAGCTGCATTTCACGAAAGAGGTCTATGTACGACTGTCTTAATATATTCGAACCTATTATATACATCTAAAAAATCAATTCAATGTTTTCCACGGCAAAACGATTATCAACAAGAACAGATATTTTAAATAGTTTTAAAGATTTTCGCATTACTTGGTTATGTTGTGCTAAATACTGTATCAGGTACATTTTTCAGCACGTATCAACAGGTTACACTGTTTTAACAGGCTTAACAAATGAAAAATGAGCAACCAAAATGAATTAATTTAGCGACGGAAAACAATATACAGCAACTAGTAATTGCTATCATAATTTACCGCATAATTTTCACCTCTATAAGCACTTATTAATTATTACAGAATTACTATGCTACTTACAGTATTTTGTGTATAGCTTCTTAGACTTATCTTTAATATTATTAATGAATAAATTGATTTTAAAATCATGTTTATGCAATGTTTTCATTTTGAATCCTAGCATCCCAACCTACTTAAATCAATTCGTTCTATTTAATATTCTATAATATCTTATCATCATGACGATATGTCAAAATCATAATATATCTTATCCGACACCAACGCTGTTAAATATTGATGTCACTGAGCTTAAGAAACCCAGAGTGGGGTCGTAATTGTTTACATAATACTTACCATATTTTCTATTTCCTTTATATGCTTACTGACACATCCTGTTAAATCAGGGCGACCCCACATCGCCCCTCCCTCACCATCAGGAATGCACGACCTAATGGCGTATCCTGTATAAAATGTATGCAAGTTTATGTGTACTTTTTCAACATGTTCGCATTTTCATTTTAAAGGCAGACGCACCAAAAGGAAAGAAAAGCTGAGTGAAAGATTGACATTTATCTCAAATTGTGTCAGAAATTTGGAAGAAAAACGTACGGTAAAGTTGAGTTACATATACACTGAAATTGAAGATACATATATTGAAATTAGTATAAACATTCTAAATGGTATGCTTATAACAAAAATAAACCAGTTTGAATTTGAACTAATTGAAGAAAATGTATAAGAATATTGTTTTAAAGAGCTTAACTGCATGAACAAAATAAATGAAATGAAATTTGATAAGAATTTTTTTATTGAGTCTTCAAGGGATTTGAATTACAGATGGTGAAAATGTTTTTCAGTTATATTTTTAACCAGATTATGTAATTATACAAATATATTACCAATTCGATCCTGAGGACATGGTTTGCTGTCGGTATCGTTGACTTCTGTTATGGCCCAATGAACAAGTACTTTGTCTCCTATTACGTGTTCGACATTCTCATCACAGTAAGGTCCATCTTATTTGAAAGATAGAATATTTTATCCGACAAAATACAAAACAATACTAAATAAATATGTTTATTCCTTTTGAAAACCCACAATAAAAATAGGTGCAACCTGATCAAACGGAATATATCTTGGAAAATAAATAAGAAACCGATAAAATAACAGTTTGGTTTTGTTTTCAAATTAATATCACATACCGTATGCTATGTCGGTACAATTTCGACCTTTGTATCCTTTCATGCAATGACACAAGTACTCGCTGTCGAAGTTTTTCGGTTCACAGTAACCGTATTTACCGCAGACGTCGGGACAGGGGTTATCTGCCCCTAAAATTATACAAAAGGTACTAATTAAAGTGACGATACTATACCCCTCGTCTAAATAAAACATACAAATAACCACAATACTGTGTCTAGTCTATACCTTTTGTAACAAAAAACTAATACAGTACAAGAGAGGTCCTTAAAATTAAAATAGGTTCAGTCTCTCAATATGATGAAACCATGCAGTCGTCCATTATACATTAGTCTAGAAACACATTGTCATAATGAAAGTCTATCAATTACATTGACATATCATACTGTTTTCCAATTGAGAAGAAATGAGACAAAATGAAAAAGAAATAAATAAATAAAAAGAACAAATATCCAGCTATCAATCTATAATTAAATAAATCTTACCAAGGGATTGCACCGTTAGCCCCAGAGTCTTCGTGTTGTTACTAGTCATGCTCGTACTATTGTAAGTGATGGCGTCAGTTCGTCTATGAACTGTTATGTTGATTGTATTTAAATCTAGATATATCCATGGATTTGTGTCGTCAGGATGAATAGTTCCATTAGTGGTTTTTATGTCGAACTGAAATTGACATATTCATGCAAACACTTATTAAGGAAATCAAATATTAAAATTATATCAAATTGCAGAAAGGTTTTTTTAATGAAAGTTTACGGCATAACATAAAGCAAGTAATCAATATATCAAAATGGCGACTTGTACTTAACACTTTACAAGATTACAAAGGGCCTGTTTCCAGTAATGTTAATTCTCCATAGGAGCCTGCCCCCGTATAATTTCTTATCTAGCTCAACTACTGTTTTTTTCTTTTCCGAAAAATAATTTTACACCTTTCCGACACCCAGATTTCATAATTTCAGTGAAAATGTATTTTTATAAAGTTGTCAATTTCAGCATCAAAGACATAAGTTCGTAAATAAAAGAAGGTTATCTCGAAATTGTAATTCGCAACATAGTATAAATTTCTTTTGATAAATATTTCCAAAACATCGTGTTTATTCATAAAACATAAAAAAAAATATTCCCGGATGAAAATGTACTTGCAGAGACACAATTATGAAAAAAATGCCATAAATTTGCAATTTTATCCCGTTATATAGTTTTGGATGCAAATTTCCATCAGAAAATCGGATAGAGCTTTACTTGTTTCATATGTGTACCAAAAATCAGCTATTTCCATGTGGTGGAACGTTCTCATATCGCCGCCTGAATGTGGTTGTAAATTGAAAGAAAAGGGGAAATGAGTAACAACCTTGTCTGAAACCCTATTATACAGCTTATTATATACAAACTTTTATATTGAATATCAGAGCGGATATTTTCATGACAGTTTTATGATGTGTCAAAAAAAAAAAAAAAAAAAAGAAAAATAAAGTACTGTTTCCCCGTCTCGATCTTGATTACTTGAGAACCATTACGTGCGGAACGTATCAGATATCTCTGGCTCCTGGTTATATCGCCGAACATTTAAGTGATGACGGCGACTATGAGGTGTGGCTTTACCAGCACTCCCCAGACCTTCTCCGATGTCAAATACATTCTCGACATAAACGAAATATAATGTTTGGATACGGTTCACCGTTTCACCCGATGTTGAGGCCCCAATAAAGGACTACTACTGCCAGTGCCCAGTTGGAGAGAGAACGATGGGAATGTGTGCGCACATCTCCAGTATCTTGTACTACCTTGGGTATTACAGGACGCTTGAAAACCCTCGACCATTACAACCACAGGTAAAGAAATTCCGACAAAACATGAAATAGTTTTCCATGCGGCAACGGAGTGTATATGTCGAAAGTATGTTTGGGCCTCGATATGAAAGATCCCCGTTACCATGTGACTAACCAAACTTATAAATATAGGTATTATACAATCGCCCGTAGCTATGAACACTCCCGTAAATGCGAAAACCAACCAAAATCATAAGGAACACGTTTTGTTTGTTGTTCTGTCTATTTGTCAGCCAATGTCTTCAACCACGGGAACGTGCGAAGTAGCCATCTTGGATTTTTTTATGAAAAAGTGTTTCTCTCACTTTTTTTCATATCTGTGTACATATTCTCAACATACCGAGCAAATACTCTCGTTGTTTTGTTAATTATCTAAAGAAAGTCGAAAATCGGCAATTCAACCATAGGCTAATTCAACCCAACATTTGAAAATGTTCCACCACTTACATTTTGATGATTTTTCCTCTCATCAATAGCATATTACGTACTATTTAATAGGAAAAAAATTGGTTTGCATCCAACGCCCATAAAAGGGTGTATTCTCTAAAAAACACAGTTTTTGTGTCTAAAATGTTATCATCGAAAATGGCATTTTTGAGATTGTTTCTTCCATAAAACAGCCAAATGGCGCGATGGAAACATGATTTTTGTCACAATCATGCCATGAATGTATTCTTTACGGTGACTATCATTTGATTAGATTTTCATTAATATTTTACATAACATGCACATTTTATCAACACTTAGACAGCTTCTGAAAGGTACAACTTTGAGGAGCCATAAAAAACAAATCAAGTGACCTAAATCTTTATACTTTATAGATTTGTGACCACAACGGCATGGGCAATGCACCACCAACAGGAAATTTGAATCAGAGAAGGGGCCGTTTTGGAAACCGGCCCTATACAAAAAGATTCTTATTTTTTTAGATGGGAAGATTGTGTGCCAAGTACAAACTTCCTTTCCATTTTTCTGTTTTAAAATACATTGTCGAATATAACAATAATATTTAAGAAAATTGAACTTTAACTAATTAAATAATAAGAACAAACAAGAAAACTTACTGTTGGTTTAAAATTGGGAAATTGCAGAGTACAGATATTTCACTATCCATTTGTTCTTATTTGAAATACACATTGTGTATTACTTTATTAGACATATGAATATTAAGGGAAATTAAACTTAAATTATAGACAAATAGTAAGAATAAACACTGAAGCTGACTGTTGTTAAAGCAAAGTTAATATTTTACTTTTAATTTTTGTTAAAAATGATTCTCCAATATGATAAACTTGAATATTTACCCTATAATTACTAAAATATATCTATATAAACAAAATACTAGAATTAAACTTTCTAAACTGACATGTTTGGTAGCTGATTTCTTTTATTTGAAGTGAGGTTAACGCAATTTATACCACAGCGTTCCTAATCCTGTCTAGATAACATATTAATCCAGGTAGCATTTGGTTGTTTGAATACGGCTTATAGGAGCTTTGGTCCTGTTAGCGTTATGTTAAACTTACGACCCAGTCTTCTGCATTTCCTATATGAAAGGCGACTTTCCGTCCTTTTTTGTTATGTTTGATCGTCCATGTACAATCCTTCGCGGCAGGTGGTAGTTCTGGTAAAAATGTCGCATCAAGATCCTGCATTCCTCCACACACAGCTTCGAAATAAACCAATGGACATACTTCAAATGATACAACATCCTATCATTAACAATTAGCATTTCACATGATACAACTTCCCGTCATTAACAATTAACATTTTACATGATACAACATCCCATCATTAACAATTACCATTTCACATGATACAACATCCCATCATTAACAATTACCATTTTACATGATACAACATCCCATCATTAACAATTACCATTTCACATGATACAACATCCCATCATTAACAATTACCATTTCACATGATACAACATCCCGTCATTAACAATTAACATTTCACATGATACAACATCCCGTCATTAACAATTAACATTTCACATGATACAACATCCCGTCATTAACAATTAACATTTCACATGATACAACATCCCATCATTAACAATTAACATTTCACATGATACAACATCCCATCATTAACAATTAACATTTCACATGATACAACTTCCCATCATTAACAATTAACATTTCACATGATACAACTTCCCATCATTAACAATTAACATTTCACATGATACAACATCCCATCATTAACAATTAACATTTCACATGATACAACATCCCGTCATTAACAATTAACATTTCACATGATACAACATCCTATCATTATCAATTAACGTTTCACATGCGGTGCCTACATTCAAACATATGTTTACCGCGCATAAATCTAAGCGATCACATTTGGTTAAGTCAACACCATGATAAAACATGTAACACGTTAAACAGAAGCGTACATACATCATATATGCAGGTGCAATCAAGCGCAAGAGATGAAACGCGAACAGCGTACATTTAAAAATTAATAAGTTAAGGAACTAAAAATATACGCAAAGATTACGCATATGTATATATATAAAAAACAAGGAAAGTCCGTAAAATATGCTAAGCAGAGAATAAATAATGCTACCGTTTGAATACCAAAATAATAGTATTGATGTGTCAATTATAAGAAGTAGTAGTAAAAATCAGACACTAACAAAGGGTTCACATCAAAGTCAGACATTTTAGAGTTTTATGTTTACCAAATGAATGTTTGCAAAAAATAAATAAATAAAAGAATAAAAATCGGAAATAACTCAGATGAAAACGTACGCAAAAATAGGAAAATAATCATGATATGATATATGAATGTTTGTATTGTTAGATGATATGTTGAGCTCTAACGAACCTTCGTAATACATGCTGAAGATATCCTCTGTGTGAAGTGTGTCAGCAGAAACTAAAGAAACTTCTACTTGGTTAGAGGGTACTGTCCACGTGGTCGAGTCTGATGTTGAGCAGAAGAACTTAGTCTCATTACCAGCTTTCACCTAAAATACATCGCAAATAACACTGATTTTTATTTATTCTAAAATCTTAAAATCTTAACAAAAAATGGGTAAGTATATGTCGTACACAATCATGATGTCAAAATTTGTATTTATAGTGCTTTATTGGTGAGAAGAGAATACAAAACACGAACTATTGTAAAATGCTAACAGCTTTCGCCTTTGATTAGGAGGAAACATGTAATATAAAATTTGATTAAGATATAGTACTTGCAGTCGTAAAAATAATATTCTATTACTGTGACACAAAAAATCACGCACCTTGACACTATGTCGACTGCAGTTCGAAGTAGGGATGAAACCGTCTATAGGTAGAACCGTAAAATTCACTTTAACCATATTCCCAGGTGGCACCGTGATCTTCCACACACAATCCTTAGTTCCGTTATGACCGTGTATCATTTCTGACCAATCCGTCATGTTCAATGATGCTCGGTCAAGGACACATTCGTTATGTGTCAGTTGACCACTGGCCACTAAGTTAAAAGAAGAAACAAGAACACCAATGCCATTAAAGGCCATCTGACTATGAAAACTTATAAATAATATAAAAGCATTTTAGGTTAATGATAATTAAATGATTAAAATAATTTTGATAAGTTAACAGTTAAGGTTACAAAACTAACAATACTGTTAAAGTTAATTTCGTATTCACCCAATACTTCCATCTTAATGACACCAGTGAAACTAGAGATAGCGACGATGGCGGTCAAATTTGATTTCGGATCTACCTAAGGAATAAGAACACTTAATAATTTCACGACAATTGGAGCTGAATCCCACTTGGGGAATTTCAGGAGGAGTAAAAAAAACACACGGCTAGGCTATCATGTTACAAAATGGCCACCATGGCTTCGTTGGCTACGTTTCCTTAACAATTTCAATTTTAGCCCGATGACACGAGTAGAACTTTAGTCGAAGCTAATTTTTTTTCAAGATGGCTGCCATGACGGCAGTATTGGATTTTGGACTTGCCCGAAAAATAAGAATGCTTAAACAGTCCTATTATTCATAGCAAGTTTTAGATAAATCCCAAAAGTGGAACTTGAGAAGAAGTATAAGATAGTTGCTCAAGCAAACCCTGCTTGTTCAAGTCTGTCATATTGAACTATTGATGTGACCGGAAAAAAAACTCCAATCAAAGAAACATAAGAAGATTGATTTGGTTAAGTTTTGCAGCGTATGGCTAAAATCCTGTTAACCAAAGGTCAGAAGTCCCAAAATGACGTTTCAAATTATTGACCAGACGCCGAGTTCTGGTAAATCCTCTGCCACTGCTGAATGAATGCAACTCTTCAATTATTTGACATTCTGGATTCATGAGCATTTACTTTTTTCCGAGATGGTTCCACAAATGCTTAATTGAATTTATGTCTGGTGACATTGTGCCATGGGAGCGTCGCTATCTTGTTTAAGACAGCCATGCAAAATGCGGCCTCTGTGTTGTTAAGCATTGTCTGAGCCTTTAAGTTTATAGAAGAGCATACTAAACATTGACAATAGCTACTTCGAAATGCTGTCGTGACGAGAATGTGATTCTGACGGTATGCCGTATTTGTTGGTCTCCAAACACAGAGTCTGGTTATCTGTAGTACTTAGCCAAAAGGATGGTTTCAAGACACGGAGCTTCTCATCTGTAGTACTAAGTCAAAAGGATGCTCTCAAAACACGGAGCCTCTCGTCTGTAGTACTTAGTTAAAAGGATGGTCTCAAAACACGGAGCCTCTCGTCTGAAGTACTTAGTTAAAAGGATGTTCTCAAAACACGGAGCCTCTCGTCTGTAGTACTAAAAGGGATGGTCTCAAAACACAGAACTTGCCATCTGTAGTACTAAGTAAAAAGGATGGTCTCAAAACACGGAGCCTCTCGTCTTTAGTACTAAGTAAAAGAGATGGTCTCAAAACACAGAGCTTGCCATCTGTAGTACTAAGTAAAAAGGATGGTCTCAAAACACGGAGCCTCTCGTCTTTAGTACTAAGTAAAAGAGATGGTCTCAAAACACAGAGCTTGCCATCTGTAGTACTAAGTAAAAAGGATGGTCTCAAAACACGGAGCCTCTCGTCTTTAGTACTAAGTAAAAGAGATGGTCTCAAAACACAGAGCTTGCCATCTGTAGTACTAAGTAAAAAGGATGGTCTCAAAACACGGAGCCTCTCGTCTTTAGTACTAAGTAAAAGAGATGGTCTCAAAACACAGAGCTTGCCATCTGTAGTACTAAGTAAAAAGGATGGTCTCAAAACACGGAGCCTCTCGTCTGTAGTACTAAAAGGGATGGTCTCAAAACACAGAACTTGCCATCTGTAGTACTAAGTAAAAAGGATGGTCTCAAAACACGGAGCCTCTCGTCTTTAGTACTAAGTAAAAGAGATGGTCTCAAAACACAGAGCTTGCCATCTGTAGTGCTAAGTAAAAAAGGATGGTCTCAAAACACGGAGCCTCTCGTCTGTAGTACTAAAAGGGATGGTCTCAAAACACAGAACTTGCCATCTGTAGTACTAAGTAAAAAGGATGGTCTCAAAACACGGAGCCTCTCGTCTGTAGTACTAAGTAAAAGAGATGGTCTCAAAACACAGAGCTTGCCATCTATAGTACTAAGTAAAAAGGATGGTCTCAAAACACGGAGCCTCTCGTCTTTAGTACTAAGTAAAAGAGATGGTCTCAAAACACAGAGCTTGCCATCTGTAGTGCTAAGTAAAAAAGGATGGTCTCAAAACACGGAGCCTCTCGTCTGTAGTACTAAAAGGGATGGTCTCAAAACACAGAACTTGCCATCTGTAGTACTAAGTAAAAAGGATGGTCTCAAAACACGGAGCCTCTCGTCTGTAGTACTAAGTAAAAAGGATGGTCTCAAAACACGGAGCCTATCGTCTGTAGTACTAAGTAAAAGGGATGGTCTCAATACACAGAGCTTGCCATCTGTAGTACTAAGTAAAAAAGGATGGTCTCAAAACACGGAGCCTCTCGTCTGTAGTACTAAGTAAAAAGGATGGTCTCAAAACACAGAGCCTGCCGTTTCTAGTTCTAAGTAATAAAAGGCTTTCATCAGACCAGTGGAAGTTTTTGCCATGACCTAATATTCTATATCCGATGATTATGTACCTCCTAGCCAACAGAGAACGTTTTACCGGTAAGTCTCCTGTTGTTCAAACGTCTATATATGTGACGTCGGATAACGCTGACAGTGAGACTTACTGTCTTCTGAACCTGTCGGCAGTGTCGAATGGAACTCGTCATGTCTGTCTATACTAATGTCTGTCTTCTCTATCTGTAGTCTTTCGAAGTCTGTCGGACCTAGGACCTCGTCAACAGACCCGGATTGGTTCAGAAACTGTATTAACCGGGAAATAGCAGAACGTCTTACATCAAAACGTGCAGCCACATGACCCATTCGACACGTTTGCCATCTTTCAGCATTTGTTAATCTAGGGCGCATTACACGTACAATCGCTGCTTTAGAAGGCAAAGGAAACTTGTAGTTTAATCCTAGTTGTTGTTAAGTTGAGTGTATCGCGAGGTAGCACACGGCACCAAACACAAAAACGAAACACCGTAAGGAGTACGAGAAGATTTTGTAAAACAAAATTTTCGTACATGTACTTTAATTATGGCCAAGTTTATATAATTCAAAATTATATTCTTTGCAATCTGTCAGACATATATATAAGTTTGTGCATTCCAGTGTACTGGCATGGAACCATTTGCTTTAACTGACCGCCTATCAATATATACCTTTTAAGCTTGTATGTTTTTCTACGTTTTATTTATGTACTTAATATAATTTCTTTTCATCATTAAAAGATTAAATCTTCCCTTCATTTTTAAAAGGATGAAAGAGGCTTCGGGATCAATTTTTAATACGACATAAAATGCAAATATGTATATATGTATATATCTGTTTATTTATGAAATAGCTAACGTGTACATGCAATTTGCGTAAAAAATGTTGAACTATGAAATGAAATGTACTTACATAGACAAACGCTAAGCACTATCCAGTACTGGAACACACTGTTCCCAAATCGAAATTTATCCATGTATCTGGAAACAAAAGATCCTTACAGAATTTTGACAACGAAAAAATTCATCATTCAAATGTATGACTGTCTCAAAAAGCAATGTTAGGGATTATCAACACTAAATATCTGATGATTTTAGTACAACCTGGGGTATTTGTTTTCGTTTGTCTTCTTTATTCACGTTCAGATGGTAAACACTACTAATGAATGTTTAGTCACCGAACCTGCTGCCATTAATGGTGACATGGGTCAGAATACAAATACAAAACTCCTCATCTGTTTATCTATTTATTTATTCTTTTTATTACGTTTACCACAATTTTAATCACCTTGATTCTTGTTTTGGTCCCATCCTAGACTGGGTATCAATAATGTAGGACCTTAATGTCACCGACCAGTCTTAGAGGGAAGAAACAGCTGTGTAATGTTGTTTGATTAGTTATTTCGCTTTAAGACAGCTTTCTATTAAGATATTTAAGTGTCTTTTGTGTCATGGCAAAAGGTGATACAAAAAAGTTAAAATAATTAGTAAGCTACTCGAAAGATATTTTATAGCGGAATCTCACTGAAATGAGACAACCATGACAGAAAAAACGTATGTCTCAACCTGCTTTTGAATGCTGACAACAGAGTAACCAGACACTTTCGAGGGTTTTTATTAGAAGTAACTCCCAGGTAGGGATTATTTTATGGGGTGGTTGTTGGTTACAAAGTCACCAAGTATTTTTTGAATTAGTTGTTTAAAAAGCCAGGATAGAAGGATATACTACATATTCCAAATGTTGAAAATGAGCAGCATATTTATTTTGGTGTCTCTTTCATTTTCCAGATTGAGCATGAAAAAAATACTCAATGTTATAGACAGTTTTCAACATTAGTCGCTTTCAGGCAAAACAGCTTATGTAAAGCTTATGTGTAAAATACATGTATGTGATGTTAACCTGTGGTGTTTGTAGTGCTTAAAATCTTTTTCTTAAAAAAAATGATAATCACATGCGTCAATCAAAAAAAAAAAAAGTAATCTAACTGAAAAATGTCATTTTTAAAATCCATGAAAAAATCGACATAAAACATTAAAACACATGGATAGAATGATCACACCAATTTTAATAAACATTAGAGGGAAGAGGAGGAGGGGTTGCTTTGTTAATGTAAGTGTTTTAAATTAGTCATGAGTACGTGAGACTGTGACTCAGGACTTCCTACGCCTTGTCAATCAAACGGAAAGTGAGAAAAGCTGAGTCACCTATTACGAATACATTTTTGTAAAACAATTTTTCTACCTTTTTTTTCTTCTTAAAGTCAAAGGTTCTAGGCTACAAAGAATGTCACGTGGAACCTTGTAAGATCTAAAGCTATTGATATGCTTATACTCTTTAACGGGAGTTATCAAGTCCACGTGGTTTTTACTTTCATCCTAGTTCCGATTATGTGTGTGTCGAGGATTCTTAAACAAATATAGGATGTTGACACTCAGAAGGGAGAGACAGTACACAAATCCATTTACAGTTCAGTATTGTTACAACACCCAACCATATACAAACATTCTAGACACTTATGTAATATGTATCCACGTGTTTGAGAAAGTGGTGTAAACTATCATGTTTGGAAGTAATATAAACAGCTTAGCTGATAAATAATATACGTATAGATATTACACACATACGTATATTTGTGTATTTCGTTTTATGAATATTCAAATATAATTGACTTTATTAGTATCTGTATTTCGTGTTTTCAATAATTGTGTTTTACATTAACACTTAGTACACGTGGCTATACTATCACAAATGTTTTCATACACTATACTGTAAGTTCATTAATTTTCGCGGGGATTTCTTTTCAAGGATTTCATAAGTAAATCTTAATTATCAAATTTATACATTATGAACGTCAAAGAATTGTCTAAATACATGTTAGTAGATCTATCTAACTATACTTTTCCACGAAATCAAATTTCAAGAATATATTTTTTACAGAAATTGACTCCAATGTAATCATTGTCGAACCTCGTTATCTCGAACTTAAAAAACTAGAAGACCCTGTTTAATTCTAAGCATTATGTCGGTCCCGGCAAATTTTCGCACCAAAGTAACGAATTCATTTAAATCGGATACTTTGATAACTAGAAGTTTTCCCACGGTCAAGGATCGACTGTATATGACTTTACAGTTGTCATTTCCATTTTTCGAATTGATAACTAACACAACCCTGAATATATACTGGTTACTGATACTGCGTTCATCCAATAATATACTCAAATGAAGGGGAAAATAATAACAATTCCCTCCTACATGGTGATAATTCTTTCACTCGCGTTTTTACGGTTAGGGTGATTTATTTAAATAACAAATCATCCAAACGAACTACTAACACTTTTGAAAATTATCATTTCCTGAATCCAAGGAAGTACCAGAGAGCGTGCATAAAACATCTCAATTTTATTTAATGAAAACCGATGATACATAGACAAGGACAGCTAAGAAATAATGACATATAGATTATATAAAACTTAACATAAACCCTATTGCAGACGAATAAAGAAGGTCAGAGAAACTCGATGTTCCGGAAGGGGTCCCGTTTTCTATATATACTTATCGATTACATTGGTCTTCAGCCCATATAATTGTGCACTTAATATCCTAGAAGCGGGACACAGTCGGATACTATACCAAGCAATACATTCCTTCATTTAATATGGAACTTTGTCAACTTTATCCAAATATTTGGTACGATTTCTCACTAGTGTGTTTAAAACGATAACGGAATGTTCTTTACATTAAGTAATGTAATAACAGAGTCAACACACTCGGGCCAACTAACATCAAAAGTCGATCTTTTCAATCGTACGTAACGTAATGATTTAGGTGTTTGCTGTATTTTTTCGTCTCTTTAATCAGTTCGATAAATATTTCAACTCCAACAGTGTTTTCATGTTCTCTTTTTTATGATTATTGTTGCATTAAAATAAAACATGTGCGAATAATGTGCGCTTGATTTCAGGACTCGTCAGTGACACAAAGGGCCTGAACTGTTTAAACTAATGAAACAAATGAGGGAAATCCGCACAGGTGGTAATCAATATCAAAAACCAGATGCGGTGCATTAACCCCGGAATTGATTAAATAAATAAATTTTCTCTATTGAAAGATTAAAATGATAATAATAAATATATTCGGAACCATGGGACTATTTTAAAAAGCGAGTTCACAAATTATAAATAATCACGTAATTTAAGATTTGAGTGTTAAGATTATAAATGTGACTTAAATTTAAGAGAAAATCAGCAGAACACATTTTCCTTTCTCGTCATAACAGGTCTGTTCGGCACGGACATAACATTTTTCACTACTGATACGGTCGCTTACACCGAAGTATTCATGACGTCAAAATGATTTCGATACACGTGTGACCTATGATCGTTATCCTGTGAGCGTAGGTAGTAGATGTCGTTTATGTATTAAATATGTCATATGTTGCCAAGAAACAATAAAGTCACGAAAAAAAAAAAAAAAAAAAAACAAAAAACAAAAACAAATCAGCATGATTTTCTAAACAATTTCCAATAACTGTCTATAGTAACAAGTAAATAACGAGGTGGAGTTAATTAATATCAGTATAACACCAACCACCAGGGCAAAAAGCTAGAGATCAAACATCAACTTTTTCATCTCGAATATTAAATGGATCTTGAAATCGTCTTTGGTGGCACGTAAAATCTTATGTCGAATATCTCATACATCTCGAAGTAGGCATAGTTATACGATGAGATACAGTAAGGACAAGACACACACAATGTTTGCCGTTTACTGGATTTGATATATAATTCAACCGCGATAAACCGTGACCCTCAATACCAGTGATATTTATGCGAAACAAGGATATATCGATATACATAAGTATGTACCTGGGACAGTAAGTATAACTGAATCAACCCTGAAAAAAATCTGTTTCTTTCTATATCGTTAAGAGGATACTTTACAACAAATGTTTTCATTGGTTTCAAGAAACCTTAATTAATATTTTTTTCTTAAATATATTTCAATATTAATACATAACATGCTATCTTCATTTTACATTATCACGATGTTTTTATCGTGTCATTGTTTCCTTAACCCTATGTCGCGGAGGGCTAGTAAGCTATAGTTTCGAGAAACATGCTATTTATCGTCTCTTACAACATAGTTTATACATATTTTACTGATTCTAGAAACAAGCATGAGGATTGGACACAAGTTATAATAACTTATAGAATCCTTCTCTCCACATTTTATGTCAACATTTTGACAGCAACATTAAGCATTTTATACAATAGAACGAATTTGTAAATCAGAAGACTGAAGGAAGAAAGAGGATGGTAGGGCAGAGAAATTGCAGTTTTTCTATGTACAACAATATATATTGCATATCAATGTAAAACATATGCCAGGCTCATACTAGACATTCCACCTACACTATTCCCGTTGTCCACGTACATGCGTGTAACCTTGTTATAATGTAGATTCACTATCCTCTTGTGTGTTGCAAGGTGCCAGACAGAAAAGAATATACATTTTATTTAGATTATACTGGGAAAAAAATCACTCATGACACGTTCGTGATAAGATTGGGTAGTTTGGATAGAAAGACAAGGACTGAAAGGTCAGGCTGTATCTGTTTCTTATAATTCTGGTTTCACGTTGGTGTAATTATAAAAGCTATGTTTGACTGTTTTCCCTCAAATGGTGGTTACGAAAACAAATTTGCACAGATCTGCTGTAACTAGCTCCAAACTTCCAAAATCAATCCTAGAATGGTTATTTACACGTGTCGTCTGATTTCCTGCTAAATTACATACGAAGTAACCGTCAGTAAATAAACATGAGTTTACATATGACATTTGATGGAACGAGTCACAGAAATTTTGGTTGTTCCGAGCTTTGGTGTGGAAACATATAATTTCAAGATGAACTTCGGAAAATTTCGTATCACATGAAAACAAATTTTAGATACTTTATTGTCACATAACTTGGAAATGCTACA